GACAAAAGGTCACACGCCTTGGAAAATCAATGGGAAGTAATGCCTGTACTCTTAAAATATGGAAAGGATATAACAAAAAATCCACTGAAATTCTCCAAACAATTTGATGGCAAATATTTTTGCATTGAAAATATGCAACTTTATTGAATTTCACTACGTACTGAATATCAGTGATATGTCTGAAGCGGTTCTGAAAATATTAATTAATTTCCATTTTTTTCCTCAAACTTAGCACCCCGAGTTTTTGTAAGTAAACATTTTTGGACCATAGTTTATAGAGCAAACTAACATTAATTTTTTATGTAGATTCACACCCTTAAATATTCGCATATCATTAAGAAACATTATGTACTGTATACTGCCTTATTTTAAGATAGACGCGGCGTTAGACTAAATCAAAGGTAGAGCTTTCGTATGTAATCAAGTTATATCTTTTACTCCCAATTGAGATGATTAACCAAAACGTTGGGTAGTTGGGTAAGAACAAGACCCTATCAACATAATGTCTGTTGTAAAATTTCTAAATTACAAATTTTTATAACTCATCTTCCACTCTGAAATGTACCAGTCACGGTTGTTTGTCTGATCCTCATCGCATTTACTATTTTATTTGTAAAAAAAGAAAAACTACATGATTGCACGTAGATATATCCAAATAATTGGAGCCTTAAGTGCAATTAGTTTATGTTTGATAACCTTGATAACGATTAGAGAGGTCAGTTATCTGATAAATATCACCTTGCGCAGGAGACTTTTTTTGCAATCAAACACGAGTACGATTCGCTTATGTTAATTTCAAAACCAAAGTAGGTATTCTTTGAAATTGTTGAAATTTTCATTTCCCACGCTTACTGGCAAGGAAGTATCGCAATATTTCGAAAATTAGATATATTTTTTGGTTGTTATATGACATTCAACTAAGAATGCAAGGTACTACGAGCCCCTTCCCACTTCAGTTGGCCCACTTCAAGATTTGTACCAAAATATGCCTTTATAAACTAAACATGACGAAACTATTTACTTCTAAAACAATTTATTTTCTCAAAAACATTTTAGATATGCTCTAGTCGCAAAAAATACATATTTGAAATCACTTAGACCTATAACTAATAGAACATCTGAACCAATAAACAATGTGCGAATAAATGCGCGAAGTTAACAAAGCAACAATTGAAAGATTACCATTGGGTAACATCACCTTTATTTTTTATTACGGCTGAAATTCTTTGGGACATAGTGTTAACCAAGTTTTTTCAAAAATTTGGTGTAAAACAATCCCATATTTCTTGAAGCTTTTGTCTCAGTTCGGTGATTGTACGAGCAGGATGTTGTCGTAGAACCTTTTTCATCTCGTGCCACAAAGTTTCAATAGGTGACAGATCTGGACTGCTAGAAACCCATTCCAAAAGTGGTACATTATTTTCTTCCATCCATTTTATAGCCTTTTTTGAGGTATGACACGCTGCACATTCTTCTATCACCGGTAAAAGCAATTCTTCTAAAATTGCCAAATATTTGTTTGTATCCACATTTCCATCAATAAAATGAAGTTTTCCTACTCCTTTTGATGACATACTGCCCCAGACAATAATGTATGCTGGAAATTTCACTTTTCTCTTCAGACAGTCAAGATGGAATGCTTCATTTTTTTTGCGAATAACTCTACTGCGACTGTCACCAACACAAACTTCGAATCGGGCCTCATCACTCCATTGTATTGCACACCATTGTTGAGGTGTTCATTGTCTATGTTCTTTAGCCCATCTAAGCCGATTTTTCTTTTGCAGTGGAGTTAATAGTGGCTTTTCTTTGGCCTATAAATAAGTTGTGCAACTTTAGGGTTTTTACTTCACTTTTTTTTATAAGAAAACTTACCTTGCAAGTGCTAAATCCCAGTTTGTGGGCCTCTCTATGAGTTGTGGACCTCGAAATTCTCCTTCCAACAGCGTTACTCCTCAGAGCACTTAATTGTAAATAATTGGCATGCCTGTTTTTCACGATTATTCTTCTTAATGCTCTTCGGTCGGCATTTGTGATATTACTTTTTTTTCACATATCGTGGCTTAATATTAACTGAACCAGTTACGTTATATCTTCTAACAATATTTCTCACACTGTACCGTGATAAGTCTAACAAAGTTCTCTAGTTAAGCTTGGAAACACCTGAGGAGGATGAATGTGGTAGCCCAGAAACATGTTGCGATACCTCCCAGTCTCCTTGAGCCTAACATTTTAAATAATTATTTTCTTTCAATTTTCCAGACAGCTGCAGCTGATCCAAATTTGATTGATAGTGTCTCTAACTCTTATAGCGATAGACGCCATACACCGGATGCACCTCTGTTTGCTTTTAAACTCCTTACTCAGCCAGACATCGTCAATATAATCTCTCACATTAAGTCTACGGCATGTGGCTCTGATGGTCTAACTTTAAATATGGTTTGCTTATGTTTGCATGATACCATAGACCATATAACTCACATTATTAATGTCTGTCTCGAAACAGGTTACTTTCCTGCCAGTTGGAAAAATGGTATTCTTATTCCAATAGCTAAAACTAATCATCCAGAACAATATTCGGATCTCAGGCCAATTACCTTATTATGCTTTCTATCAAAAATACTCGAAAGAGCTGTCTACTCACAACTAGTGGAGTTTTTCGAACAAAATCACTTATTTCCTCTACATCAGTCAGGTTTCAGAGCTGGTTACAGCACTACTTCGTCTTTATTACATCTTACTGATTCCATCATTCACAATTTAGACAATCACATCAACACCGTCTTGGTACTGTTAGATTTCTCGAAAGCCTTTGATATGGTCAATCACCAGATACTACTGAGTAAGTTATCTCATTATGGAATATCAGATATAGTTCTAAGGTTCTTTGAGTTATACTTGCTAAATCGTCAACAAACAGTGAAAACTGATCAGGGAATTTCCTCCTCTGAGCCAGTTCCTTCAGGAGTTCCTCAGGGCTCAGTATTAGGTCCCTTACTATATCTGATTTATACGATCGATCTGAAAGACTGTTTAGTCCACTGTAGTATGCAAACTTATGCAGATGATACTCAGTTAGTGTTTGGTTTCGATCCATCAAAGGTTGATGAAGTTTCTTTTAAAGTTAATTTAGATTTGGCTAACATCGGTGATTACTGTAACAAACACTGCTTGAAGATCAATCCCAATAAAACTACTGCAATGTTGTACTGTTCGAAGAACTCCTACCGTGAAATGAAGCAGAGGATTTGTGTTTTTTTGGATGAGACACTCATCCCTTTTGTGGATTACGCTAAGAATCTCGGTGTTACCCTTGATTTAAATATGAGATTCGATCGGCATGTCTCTTTCTTATCTAGAGTAACGTATTTGCGTTTGAAACTCCTCTATTCTAATCGATAGATAGATAGATAGATAATCTTTATTGTCTTTTGGTCATAAATAGCTATGACATAAGACTTGTCAACATTACATATACAATACATAAGTATGCGATATGCAAAAAAAGAACAGGTAGTTAATTAAAACGGTAATTGAGATAATAAATAATAAACAAATAAATCAATAAAATAGGAGTCATTACAAACACAAACAAATTCTCAATGACATCTAACGAACATGAAAAAATAAATAAATAAAATAGGAGTCATTACAAACACAAACAAATTCTCAATGACATCTAACGAACATGAAAAAAAAATCTATTTTAAATAAATAAAAACAATTGAGCGCTTAAAATGTCTAGAAGAGGAGCAATAAATAGACTGTTTCTTTTACGTTAAGCTTAATAAATAAATAAAAAGAATAAATAAATAAAATTAAGCAGTTAGGTATTCGTCGACGGTGTAGTAACACTTTTCTGATAGATATCTTCTCAGACGTTTCTTTAATGTCAACATATTAGTGCTTCTGCGGAACTCAATTGGTAGTTTATTGTAAATTTTTGTACAGGCATAGAGTGGTGATTTCTGAAACTGGGCTGTTGCGTGGACTGGTATACTTAAGTCAAAACCTATTCTGGTGTTGTAGTGCCTGTTAACTGTGTTATTTTGAATAAAACTGGTCCTATGTTTAAATGCGAAGAGAGCGCATTTATATATATAGATGGATATTAATGTTAGCAGATTATAACATATGTTCTGAAAATATCTTTACATACATCTTGAATTTTAAAACCCGAAAAACGCACGCTAAAAGTCTTGTGTTGTCTGTCATTTCTTACTCCCTTGTTCTGTATTACCCATGTTTAGACTACGTCCACAAAAGGAAACTCCAGAAAATTCAGAACAGCTGTTGTAGGTTAATTTTTGGATTGCGCAAGTTTAGTCGCGTCTCAGATAAAATCAAAGAACTCAACTGGTTGCGAATTGATAAGTTATTTTTATATCTTTTGACCGTCTTCACGCATACAGTTCTACTATCTAACAGACCAGCTTACCTCGCTAGCAAACTAGTTCACCGAGGTAGTTTTGTTACCAGAGCTCTTAGATTTAATGCTAATTTTAACATGCCTCCTCACAATACCTCGGTCTTTGAAAGAAGTTACACCTATAATGCTGTCAAGCATTACAATGCAGTCAACAGTAGCTATCGATCCAAACAGGTTGTTTCTTTTAAGAAATTAATGAAAAGTCAGCTGCTGGAGTCCATTTAGTTCAGTTTTTCTTGTGCTCATGTGATATTTTTTTATTTTTCTACTATTCTACTATTTTTGTTTCAAATTTAAAACTCTCGCAATACTATCTGCATTTGTCTTGTGCAATCAATGTTGTCATTCTTATGAATTGTATATTTTTTTTTGTATGTTATTATTTTGCTTATGTGTTTAAGTATTATTTTTTCCTGTTGTGGGGTTGAGTGTAAGAGTAGCCCTCTGGCTAAACTTCGCCTCACTGCAGTTAATAAAGGCATTATTATTATTATTATTATTATTATTATTATTATTATTATTATTATTATACGTTGTGGATGTTAACACTAACTAGCTTTTTTCTTTCTAGTATTGTTTGGGCTCCTTACCTTGTGGCACAGGAGTGCTGCTGTTGAAATTACTAGTCTTCCAGACAGAGCACTTATCCTTCAATTTGAGAAAACTGGCGCACTGTTATCGATAAGCCATAGTAAGATATCTTTGATGAAGCATTTACTGACAGAAACATCCAGATTAATCTTTTCAAGAGGCATACCTTATCAATCCAAATTTCCTTGAAATTTTGACTTTGATTAGTAATTATGGATACTTGGAATGGAGTGATTTTCTTGTTTTAAAAATATATTTTTTCTGCAATATGTTCTGAAATTAAATAAGATACTTTATTTTGAGGTTCTATATTCAAGATTACCATGTTCTGAGAGCAATTCATGAAAAACAACCTTCTTGAAATAAGAATCATTGAGTTTTTAAGACATAGGGAATACAGGTTTCAATTCAAAGAGGTATGCTTGAGAAGCATATCAGTGTCACGACTCACTAAGCAACTAATAAGTAATAAGGTTACTGGTGATTCATCGTATTCTTTCCTAAATTAATTATTGTAGTTTATACAGCGTATTAAGCTAGTACTAGTATCATAAAAGGTGCAAAAATGTCATTTTACAGAGGGTAAGACAGTCTTGGAGAGCAAAATAGGTTACAACAGGGATGTGAGAAACGATTTTTATGAAGAAGAGGGCATTTTGAACATAACCCAAGTTCCGCATGGATTTAAGGTGAAGTGGGAGACAGTCAAATTGGATACAGAGCTGAAGGATTGCATTACGTTCCAAGATGGTGTTCATTGGTAAGTATTAGCATGGCAATATGACGAAAACGCCAATCTTACTGTTCAAAGTCTAACTAATTAGTCTAACACTAATTTATAACCCTTGCAAATAATTCATGGTAAAATAACGATGTCGACTGGACTACAGGTTCCGCGGTGTTGACTGTCTCGACTGTGACTGACTGCTTCCACCATCTGGTCAGGTATTTAACTTCAATCGATGAATTCTAAGTGGTCTCATCCACGTTTTCTAAGAACATTTAGCACGAACCTCATCAACTGTCTCCTGAAGATCATTGCATAATCGAAAGTTTGACATTTAAGTTACAAGACTACACTTTGCGATACTTTGCCGATTTCCCAAGTAGATTATTTCACCTAAACTATATACAGGGTGTCCCAAAAGTCTTAGTTAAGCCGGAAACTGGCGATTGGCCCAGTGATAGTAGTTATCAGAAATATATAAAAGAATCTAATTTGAGTACTTTTCTAAATAATGTCTTCAGAAAAAATCGTGAAAATCTACATCCTAATAAAAGTGTATGTCTTGATGTCACTACGTAGACTGACACTACCCCTCACATCATCCGAGAAAAATTTGAAATTTGTAGTAATGGGAACTAACAGATCATCATGGATTTTTCCGATTTCTCCAATGTTTTTCAAATTTGAGGGAAAAGTACACGACTTAGATTGTTTTTCATATTTTTCTGGTAACATTAGAAGTGTGACACCCAAAAAAAATAATTGTTCAACTTGATTTTTTTGGCTATGAGGTAATCTTACATCAAGAATGAAACGATAACATCCTCACGAAATTTTATTGACAAGTATATAATAAGAAAAAAAATTAATAGTTGTGGGCGACCCCGCAGCTGAATACACTCCTGTATACGTCTAGGCACCGACAAAATCAGATGATCGATGTGTTCTGTGACTTTTGTGTTACGTGGACTTGCGGACCAGCCTTGACATTGACAAGTGGCCCCTCCCCACACGCTTGCACCAATGCACTGGTAATCAGCCACAAAACTCGGATAATAGTCCAGATAATATCGGAACAAAACATGAGCTTTAGAACTCTTCTCTAGACTTGATATATACAAGCAATGTAAAAACTCAAAATATGCCATTTGCTACCCCAACAACAATATGAAAAATGAATATTTTGATGTTGCCAAATCTCACACATGCTTCAACCAACGAATAACAAAACCCCTAGAGCACAGTTATTGTAAATATTTGCATAGTAATTGTGAATGCGCGCTCAATGTATAGTCTATGTTAACGCGCGAGAGAGATGAAATATCTCTCGTGCACGCTGAATATATACAAAGTGACATATAAATCCGAACACCCAGTTTAAATGGTTTTATTTTAATAAAAGTTGGTGAATGTATTTATCTTACTGTAAATAACAAGTGAAAAAATTTTCAGCCTTATCAGTTGGATATTCCGGTTTTTATACTGCTTTTTTTAATTCACTAACGCTCTAAAAATGAATATTTCAGCCACAGTAAAGAATCAACGTTGGCGGATTTTGGTTCTTGACATCCTTTACGATCGGTTATGATGCCTAGAGTACGGAGACCTGTACGATTTCGTCAACTTAGTGAGTTTGATAGGGTCCGTATAGTGGGACTTCGGGAAGCTGGATTTTCTTTTCGGGCAATTGCAGTTAGATTGCAAAGAAGTGTAGACACTGTGGTTAGGTGTTGTCAGGCATGGCTTCCAGAAGGCCGTAGGCAAAGAGCAAGGGGCACTGGACGCCGCCGTAGAACAACAGACCGTGAAGATCGCCGCCTAAGATTATTGGCCTTAAGGGACCGTTTCTCCACTACCAGGTCCATTGCAAATGAATGGTTTGCAGAACACGGAAGACCTATTGTCATGCGAAGTGTTTACCGACGAATGAGAAGTTTTGGCTTGTTTTTATACCGGCCACACTGGGCCCTCCCTTTAACTCGAGAACACCGACGTAATCGCCTTGAGTGGTGCAGACAACGGTCACTCTGGGATCTGGAATGGAACAGTATTGTCTTTAGTGACGAGTCTAGATTTTGTTTAGGCATGCATGATGGTCGTGCCAGGGTTAGAAGGCGACGTGGTGAAAGGAGGAATCCACAGTTTTTTGTTGAAAGACATGTTCATCACACTGTTGGAGTTATGGTTTGGGGTGCTATAGCTTATGGTTCCAGGTCACCTTTAATCTTCATCAGAGGTAAAATGAATGTGCAGCGTTATATCCACGAAGCTCTAGAACCCCACCTTTTACCCTATCTTGACACCCTGGCAGATCCAACTTTCCAACAAGATAATGCCCGACCACATGTTGCAAGAGTCACAATAGACTTCTTTCAACATAATGATGTCACATTGTTACCATGGCCACCAAGATCTCCCGACCTATCCCCAATTGAGCACGTGTGGGATATGATGGGTAGGAGATTGCTCAATTTGCAACGTCCTCCTCAGACTCTAGAAGCACTTCGAGAGGAGTTGGTGGTTGCCTGGAATGAGATATCACAGGAGAACATTGACCACCTGATCAGAAGCATGCCTAGGCGCGTTGGAGAATGCGTAGCACATCAGGGTGCATCCACACATTATTAAAGGTTAAAGGGTTTTAAAGCAGTGCAATCATTTTGAAATTTTTATCATTTACTTATTATGCTTCATTAAGTACTTATACAAAATTTTACTAAAATAAAACCATTTAAACTGGGTGTTCGGATTTATATGTCACTTAGTATATTTGGTGGGCTGCGAATAAACAGCATTGGCCAGGTGTACACCTGGTTCGTAGTTAATGACAAACTACCTTCACAGTGATCTGTGAGGTTTTGGAAAAACATGTCATGGGGGGCATGGTATAGAGTTAAATTCTCTTTTTTCTTCTGTAGGGGCTATAATTTCCCAACATCACCACTGGTACAGTTTCAGACGTGTTTGTATCTATCAGCTATGATGTCAGTACGACAAGCACAAAATTTTAAGATAATATCAATTTTTTTTTTCGTTTTCTAAAATATAATTTCAACATCCTCTATCTTGGTACGAGGGATGTATTTTAAGTTTTGCATATAGAAACATAGTAGGCCGCGCGGATCGAACGTCAGTACTGAATCTTAACCTCACTCTTTATTAAACTTAAATTCAAAGTTTCAGAACAATTCGTGCAGTGTTCTCACAACAGTGAATTTTGAAGTGTCACCAAGTCATCAGAAAAATGGAACTCAACCGAGAACATTTTCGCGCCATAATTTATTACAACTTTCAGTGACAATTATCGCAACAAGAATGCCTTGCTGAGTTACTGTCTGTTTTCGGCAACGAAGCGCCACATCAGTCGACAATTTTCCGTTTTTATAGAGAATTCAAACGTGTTTAGGTGAGTCTTAGCGACGACGCCAGGGTGGGTGCACCAAAAACGGCAGGCACCCCGGAAAACGTCGATGCTGTGCATCATTGAAGATAGACATGTGACATATCGCGAGATTGAGGCGTCCTTGAAGGTCTCAAAGACCTCAATTCAAAAAAAATTACATGAAGAATTAGGAGTAAGAAAATTAGTTTCTCGTTGGATACCCCACCTGTTGATTGAAGAGCAGAAAGCAGCCAGGGTTAATTGGTATCAAAAAACGCTTGACCGGTTCAATTCCGGAGACTCAAAAAATGTGTACAGCATTGTTAGTGGTGATGAATCGTGGATTTACTGTTATGAACCAGAAAATAAACGACAGTCGGCTGTTTGGGTGTTCCAAGGTGAAGAAAAGCCAACAAAAGTCATCAGTTCTCGAAGTGTTTCGAAAAAGATGGTCACGATATTTGTGTTTCCATATGCAAAACTTAAAAGACATCCCTCGTATAATAACATCTATTAAAGATGAACAAAATAATAATTAGTATTTCATCTATTACGCATGAGGAAGATTTAAATAGAATCTTTGGTATTCTTCTAAACGAACCACCGGTATATCTCTTTTACGCAGCGACTTCAAAGCCATATATTTTTTTGTAGTAACTTTTCTTGTCTTTCCACTCAGAACTTGAGAAGAATACCTTTTGAATCAAGTTTTTGTTATTTTTTATCTAAAAAAGCTTTATTCGTGCTGAAGGTGAAGTTAAAAAGATATATACATCACAGTGCGTATAGTGATAAAATTAAAACTAAAATTTTACGAACCGACGTAATTTAGTTAATCAATACGTTGTAAAATGATATGTATATTTTATAATGTCACAAAATGGCGTAACTTAAGTTAAGCTGCCTCGCGAAATTTAATTTCCTATTAAAATGAGATGAGTCTAACATTATTTTTCTATAACTCTGAAGGTATTAGAAACTGACTTATGTCACTTCGTGATATTGAAGAGCAACCTTTTTTAAGTAATGAAATCGACTTAACTCAATTTTTGTATTTTCTGAGATACCTAGATACCTCAGATACTGCTTTCGTCACAAAAACTAAGGGATAACATGTAAACAAAGGTAAACAAGAACAAAGATAAAGCGTTGACATTGCGGCCACAGCATGCTTCAAGTATAGTCATTATGTTGCCAAGAAAACAAGTTAAAGAAATTATTACTATAACATATACCATAACAACCGATAAATATTTGTAGGTTTGGAGGTCCTCAACGTAAAGAGCAACATTGGCCGTTGGAAAAAATGAAAATCGACGGCTCTGAAGCGTATGTTTTGAAGCAGCTGGATAACTTCTCCGTTGCAGAGTACTACTGGTTAAGCTCCTTGGGAGTTTATATTCATGTCAACGAACGAACTCCACTCTTTGTTGACCAGAACAACAAAGAACCAAATAAGCTGTGCTTTATCGCCAAAGCACAATCACCTTATATAAACAGAAAGAGAGTAAGTTTCACATCTATTTGAAGTTCTGTGCCAGTTTGAATAAAAAGGGAAATAGTTGTTGAATTAAAGTTACGGAAAGTATTATTTATGGAAAATCGTAAAAAAAATTATGAAAGAAAAGACAATACCGACCACTGCAACGTACAAGAAATAAAACTCAGTGTCGTTTCGGTTCGAAACTATAGCAGGAACTTTATTGGATGAAAACAGGATGACAACAACGCTAGTTACATTTCATATTCAGTTTATAAGAAGTAAAATATAGCAAAATGCAAAGTCAGGAATGTTCTCACAAAGATAACACCTAACGCTGTAACTAGAAACCGGATGGACGGCCCTAATCACAAGGGCATCGGGACGGTGTTAGCCGTACCGTTGAAATGGTAATCATCAGGATTCCGTAACTCCTCCCTCCTCGGAAAGATTGGTCTCCAATCTCAAAAAATGATTTGAACTTTTAATTTGAAGGAGAAGTTTCTTAAATATCACTACTTTGAGGTGGAGTTTTAGTATCCTTTACATAACGGTATCTAACAAAAATTGTTATAAATAAAACCAATAAAATAATTACAGTAGTAAAAATAACAGGATAACTTATAGCAGAATGAAACTGTAAATCTTCAAAATGAACTTGAAGTGAAGTGAGATTTTTTTCGAAATAAGATTCGAGTGTTTGTTTTCTTAAATGAATATTTATCGTTGTCACCTCTGAAGGATAATTCTGATTCAATTTCATAATTAGAGTCAAATTCTAATATTTGATCATTAATAAATGTATGACATTCTAAAATTATGTGAGTAGTAAAATGAATATGATGGATTCCTTTACAATCCTTGATTTTTGTTAAAACATTAGTGTCGATTACACAATTGTTCTTACTTAATTCTAGGATTCGCGTGTAGTTTACTAGACTTTCAGACTCACAAGTGTCTAACTTAAGTGGTTGACATGGCGACTGGAAAGTATTCGTGCAAACATACAGCTGATTGCTTAACTCTATAATATTTTTGCAATAATAATACTTTTCAAAGTATAAAATATAATCACTTGGTAATTTTACTAATTCTTTTTTGACTGTGATTGAAAATAACTTGAATAAGGAATAAGTTCTAACATCTAAAATGGGAAACTCAACTACAAAAATAAGTTGGTTTTCTAAAAGTATAAGTGATAAAAGGGAAAGATCATAAATCTCAAATAAATGTATTTTGTCGAATGGCAATAATTCTTCGTCTTTATAAATGGATTTTAAATGTTCAATAAGTAAGGTAATCTGATGATGAGATAATTGTAAGGTGTTGAGACCTGTTTGCTGGTTCAATTGTAGAACTAATAAAAGTGAATTTAGATATGAATTAAATCGTTGCAAATTTGTAATAATTGAGATCTGATGGATCGTCTGGTGTGATAACAAAGACTGATGTTCAATAGTTTGGACATTATGAATAATAATTGACTGAATTCTTCTTGTATTATTTTCAAAAATTTCTTGAAGAGATTTGCAAAACGTGATAGTTTTCTGATGACTTTCAAGCAAGCTATTCTGGTTATTTCGGAAAGCGTTCCGATTTTTCAAAATAAGATCTACATCGTTTTGATCAAGGTTGCCAGAAATAAAACGAATTATAGAACCTAAACCGTTTATAAGTCCGCGTTTGATTTTATGGTGTGTTAAAGTTTCGAACTTGGAATAAGTATCTTCTTATAAATTTTAAAACTGATTATCTAAGCTGGTGGGAATTTTATTATGTAATTCAATTAGGTAAGAAAACATTTGCATGGTATGTGAAATATCAGTGAGGTTAATGGAGAAATAGACTTTGTGATAGTGATGAATATTTCTTGCATTACCTAAACGTATCTGTTGTATGGGTTGCTAAATTGTTGTCCATAAGTAATAGCGGGACGAGAAGTAGAGGGATTATGAGAGAAACTAGCAAAATTGGGAAAGTTAGGTCTATATGACTGCACTGGCGGTCAAACAGGTTTATTTGTCTGAGGCTTAGACTTAGTGACGAGAAACTCTTTATATTGTTTGGTTTGCAAAAGGTTGTCGTGTTCTTGGTACCGTCTCTTAGCTTCACCTATATTTTTAGGGGGTGGTTGTAATGCAACGCAATGATATTTGGAATTGATTCCGCATAAAAAGGAGGTTAAAGCCATCTGTTCATATCTAGCAATCATTGCTGGGGCAATTTCTGGAGGATAATTTAATCGAGCAAATTCTCGTAATTCATGAAGTTTGTTACAAATTTCTGAATGTAAAACGCTATAGTCTGGGGAATGAATATCAAAAAGTTGACGAGTCAAATTTTCTTCAGTTTGGTAATCTTTAAATCTAGTGGTTAAAATAGCAGAAAGATGTTCAATAGTAATAGGATCAGTTTGTTCTGTAAATTCGGCAGGTTCACCTTGTAATCTAGACTTAATAAATGTTAAAGCATGTCCTTTATAGGAAATAGGTAAAGCGTTATAAAATTCTGTAGACTTTCTTAAAAATGTAAAAAGATTGTTTGAATAGCCATCAAATATAGGAATTGAATCTTTTAGCATGTTAAAAATTAATTGAGGATTGTCATGCTGAACGACATTCTGTTGAAGTAGCCATTCTTATAGGAGATCTTTCTCTTTCGGTAGGCACAAAACGATTAACAAAAGCCATAAAATAAAATGTATAAAAGATGCAAGATAAAAATGAGTAAAAATAGGTGAAAACAAAACTTAAAGATATGCACAAAATTAGATTTCAATTGAAAAACGCAAACTTGGATTCTTCAAAAAAAATATTCTCTGTAGAAATGAGTTTTTTGATAAATTCTTCTTATGGTTACGTATTAAATCTTCTTAGCTGCAAAATCTTCTTAATAGTAATTCTTAACTACTTACAAGGACAGTAGCATCAATTGTTGCTTCATCCAGGGGCTGGTCATCTTGTCTTCGATTCCAAATCAATGGTTCTGGACAGTTTCTGGTAGAATTCCCAGTAAGAGAATAGAAATTCTTACTTGATATTGGCACTCGGAGAGTCCAAGTAGAACAGGAGGGCCTTCCCGACGTCTGATACTAACTCTTGGCTTTCGCTGGTACTAACTTCAGTTTTCTCAGGAACTCACTCTTTGGCTTTCTCGGAGACACCGCTGGGCAGCTCGTCTATTAGATATTTCTCACAATGGTGACAGAAACCAAGCCTGGGATCCTGTTCGCAGCGCCAGAAATGAAACTCAGTGTGGTTTCGGTTCGAAACTATAGCAGGAACTTTATTGGATGAAAACAGGATGACAACAATGCTAGTTACATTTCATATTCAGTTTATAAGAAGTAAAATATAGCAAAATGCAAAGTCAGGAATGTTCTCACAAAGATAACACCTGCTGTAACTAGAAACCGGATGGACGGCGCTAATCACAAGGGCATCGGGACGGTGTTAGCCGTACCGTTGTAATGGTAATCATCAGGATTCCATAACTTACACTATAGCAACTCAAAAATCGTTGCATTTGACTTACTATATGGTATCGATAGACTTTAATTGGGTTCTATTTGGTGGGAGAATATGGTATCTCAGTCATGCAACTATAGGCAATTAGTAAATCTCCTACATCATACAGTAAGTATAATAGTGGCGGTTGATCCCACGAAAACTACATCAAATTGAGTTACTTTAGTCTGCGATGCAAAAAATCACTGTTAGACCTAATGTCTGACTTACTATTATTTTCGCGGCATAGTTTGAGGCTACTGTAATTAATAGCGAAAACGTTTCAAGTATTAGCTGTATGAGAAGAGCAGTTTTCAAAGCGAACTGAAATGAATTCAAGAACCAAAATAATTCTGGCAGATGCGAAGAAGTGCAGTTGCTGAACAATTAAATTCAGGCAAGTTTGGTTCTTAAATAGTGATGACTTCTTTTAACGCAACAAAAAGGATCAAAAATAGCATCCTCTGCTGCACGTTATGCACCGGGACATGTCGCATCACAGTCTGTTTCTCTCATGCCTGTGAATTAAAAATGTTTAACAGAGAAGAGCTCTTCCTCCCCTGGTAAAGATGGGATGACGGCTGCTGCACTTAAAAACTGCGCTTCAGCACTGGTCCTACCATTAAGCTTGATATTCACATCGTCTTTTAGATCTCATACCCTACACTCATGCTGGCTTAGTGCTTCTGTTACCCCTGTATTCAAAAAGGGCGACAAATCCTCCGCTAAAAATTATCGACCAATAAGTCTCGTTCCTATCGCCGCCAAAATAGCTAAAAGAATCATATTAGATAAACTCCTGTCATTTGCTTTCGAAAATGACCTTATCCCTAAGAATCAGCATGGATTTCTCCTTGGTCGATCAATAATGACCAACCTTCTCCACTCTCTCAACGATTGGACTCAGTATCTGGACACAAAGACTCCTGTTGATATAATCTACTTAGATTTTTCTAGGGCTTCCGATCGCGTACCACATAGAAGGCTTCTGTTTAAGTTGGAATGTATGGGAATAAGAGGCGAGTTGTTACTGTGGATTAAGGCTTTTCTCACCGGGAGGACTTTCTCTGTGCGCGTCAGTGATAGCCAGTCTCACCTTCATCATGTAGCAAGTGGAATTCCTCAAGGCTCTGTCTTGGGGCCAGTGCTGTTCCTTCTGTATACAAGTGACCTGCCCGCATTGATTTCCTCCACATGTTCAGCTTATGCCGACGACACCAAGATTTACAATACTGTCGTAAATTCTGCTATGCTTCAACGAGATCTTGATATTGTTTGTCAAAGGTCAGTCAGTTGGCTTTTACCCTTAAATCTAACTAAGTGTTGTGTTCTTCACCTCGGGAAGACAAATCCGCGATTTACATACAAGATCTCTGACCACAATATCGAAGCAGTTTCCAGCCACACTGATCTGGGCGTTGTAGTCAACGATCGTCTTTCCTGGTCAGAGCATATTCACCACGTTACATCAAAAGCCAAGAAACTTCTATACATGCTGGAGAGGTCTTTCAAAGGATCCGATGTCAACACTTGCGCCTACATTTACAAGGCATTCGTGAGGCCAATTCTTGAATTCGTTGGCCAGGTATGGGACACTGTGCTTCTGCGCGATAGAAATCTCGTCGAATCAGTACAGCGTCGGGCTACTCATATCCCTTTTGGAGCACGAAGACCAAGCTATGAAGATCGCCTTGAATTATTCAACCTGACCTCATTCTCTGAGCGAAGACTTCATGGCGATCTTATAGTTACGTTCAGGACACTTCATGGTTTGATGGGCACCAACCTCATGCATCTATACCGTCTGTCGCGCAGCAATCTACGCGGACACAGCTTCAAACTGCATAAGGAGCCATTTAAAACAACAGTCCGACAGTGGTTTCTTCCCAACCGCATATTCAACACCTGGAATAGTTTACCTGAAAGTATGGTTGGTGCTACTTCAGTTAATAGCTTCAAAGTGCAGTATGATAGCTGGAGGAGTGTACAAACTTTATAGCTATGAACTGTCTTTTTTTTATTTTTTTCTATTTGATGTATTTGTGTTACGTGTCCGTACACTATATTTACTGCATGAGCTTATAGTACTGTGTACTCATCTCAATTATCATAGTAATAGTAATAGTAATAGAATTCAACTATATCAGTCCTCGGTTTTGCTAAGACAACACTCACGTGTTTGCCGTTCGTTCATTCATCTCCAAGTCTGGACCTGATACAGACCCATATAGTACTGATGAGGGCTAAAGAGCCCCGTCTGCGGTTGGTCGTGTATCCATTAGTTTTAAATAAAAGGTAAAATCGGAAAATTGGAACAAAGACGCGTTGTGGAGAAAAGTTGAAAATAAATAAGTGCCTCGTGAAATGAAATATAAGTGTGACTATGCTGATGATCTCACGATAGTAACATTGATTTTCACTGATCAACAGACAAAAAATATCCTAAATAAAATCAACAAAATATTACTATTTTTAATGTGCTAAAACCGGAATGAAACTGATTTTTTCAATATTAGTTCAAGTTTTAGAGATACGGTAATTATATGTGTTCCTGCTGTGACAGTGTTAATATACTGTAATTCACAAGAATGCACGTGCTACATTTTTATATTCGGCAAGGAAAGATGATGTAATCGGCATGATTGTGTTACGTTATACATACGTGTACATTATATTGTTTTATATTAGCCATTTTTTCCTCAGTTGGCTGACAGCGTTCATGCAAGATGTCTCGAAACTGTGTAAAGAATCCAGATCAGTTTTGTTACGTGTGTGGTGATGTGACTTTTGCGTCTCAGAGACGGTCTATTACTCCACTAATAACAAAGGCATATCAGCTTTATTTCGGTTGTAAACTAGGTGATCAAGACAAACAGTGGGCACCCCACATCTGCTGTAATACATGTGCTTCAAGTCTGAGGAGCTGGTTAAATGGCAAAAAACGGTCTATGCGCTTTGCTGTCCCAATGGTTTGGAGAGAGCCTACAAATCATATTAATGATTGTTACTTTTGCATGGTACCTTGTGTTGGACAAACCACAGGTATGTCCAAGAAAAAAAATCGGTTATTAACTACGTAAACATACCATCTGCGATGAGACCTGTGCCTCACAGTGACGAAAATCCTATTCCAAAACCCCCAGAATCCTACACTTGCGAATCAGAAAACGAATCAGATCATGGCTATCGAGTGATTCGTCAGGAAGAAGATATGCCATCAACGTCAAAAGATCCTGATTTTATACCGAGCACGTCATGCCACCAACCGCACAAAATAACACAGTCAGAATTAAATGATCTTGTAAGAGATTTAGAACTTCCAAAATGTAAGGCAAAGTTACTTGGATCAAGACTGCAGCAGTGGAACTTGTTACGGTATGTGTTTTTCGTAAACGCCACAAAGACTTAGAACCATTTTTCAATATGGAGAGTAACTTGGTTTTCTGCAGTAACATTAACGGCTTACTGGCGGCTTTAAATATAAACTATAACCCAGAAGAATGGAGATTGTTTATAGACAGTTCAACATTGAGTTTAAAGGCAGTGTTATTGCATATTGGAAATATTTTACCATCTCTTCCTGTAGGGTATGCAGTTCACATGAAAGAATCATATGACAATATGAAGTACCTATTGACATGCATAAAATACGATGAGCACCAATGGCATATTTGTGGCGATTTGAAAGTTGTTGCAGTTTTACTTGGGCTGCAGCTAGGCTACACAAAGTTTTGCTGTTTTTTGTGTGAATGGGACAGTCGGGCAAAGGCACTTCATTACACCAGACAAAACTGGCCTGTTCGTCAATTCCTAGAGCCAGGTCAAAAGAATGTACAGCATATGCCATTAGTAGATTCGAAAAAAAATTTATTACCACCACTGCATATCAAGTTGGGCCTAATGAAAAACTTTGTCAAGGCATTAGATAGAGATGGGTCAGCTTTTCAATACCTGCGTCAGAAATGTCCAACACTAAGTGAGGCAAAGGTTAAAGAAGGTATTTTTGTTGGGCCACAGATTCGAAATATTTTGAAAGATAAACAGTTTGAAAACACTTTAACAGATATTGAAAAAACTGCTTGGAATGATTTCCGTCTGGTGGTCACCAATTTCTTGGGAAATAGAAAAGCTGACAACTATAAAACCCTTGTCAAAAATATGCTGTCATCGTATCAAAAGATGGGCTGTAATATGTCTCTTAAGATACATTTCCTACACTCACACCTGGACTTTTTTCCTGACAATTGCGGAGCCGTAAGTGATGAGCACGGCGAACGTTTTCATCAGGATATTTCAACAATGGAAAAAGGTACCAGGGAAAGTGGAATCCTTCCATACTTGCAGACTACTGTTGGACTCTTGGTAGAGATGCTCCAGAAACGATCCATAAAAGAGCAGCAAAAAGACAGCGCATATAGTGATTCTTATAAGTATATGAATCTTGTTACTTTTTTTAATATATCCTTAAAAATAAAAAGTTTTTTTTCTAAACCGCAAATAATTTTTTCATTTCATTGTCATTTTTGGATTCAGCGCCCCAAAATTAACAAAGAAGTGCACTTTTCCCACAAGATACAATTAAAAAACTAAAATTTGTTGTCCAATGATCAGAGAATGAGACCCCAAAACAATACGCTTCAGGAACTGAAAATACGGAAGTTGAGAACGATGATGCAGAACAGGAAGATGAATATAATTTGAGTGACTCAGATTGATATTAAAGAGGTGTTTTTCGACCATTAGTTTGAAAAATACTGTAATATTTCAATAAATATCCTACTAAGTCTAGACAAGTGCACTTTTTTCTTTAATTGATCGAACGAAAACTATAGTAGGTCAGCAAAATTCATAAAAAAATTGTCACTTTCGCTAGGTTTGTATGGTAATACCATTTATAACCTTCTATATACAAGAATTACTGCAATGTACAACATACTTTTGATGAGATCGTCATTTTTCTGGCAACTAAATTCATCAGAAAATCTTCTAACGCCTATATCTCAGTTCAACAAAAACTGAGTTACAATAGTCTTCCTTGCAGGGATCGATTATTCGTCGTTTCATCCAAATACGGTTTTAAATAACAATCAGAAATTATAAGTTATTCAAAATGGAACGTACAACCTTTAATACACGATTCATCATTTATCAATAACATCACTCCTGCTTGTGATAAGATATTGAAATTATAGGTAGTCAACCACTTAGTCTAATGCGTTCGGTAATATACTAAGTGACATATAAATCTGAACACCCAGTTTAAATGGTTTTATTTTAATAAAATTTTGTATAAGTACTTAATGAAGCATAATAAGTAAATGATAAAAATTTCAAAATGATTGCACTGCTTTAAAGCCCTTTGACCTTTAATAATGTGTGGATGCACCCTGATGTGCTACGCATTCTCCAACGCGCCTAGGCATGCTTCTGATCAGGTGGTCAATGTCCTCCTATGGTATCTCATTCTAGGCAACCACCAACTCCTCTCTAAGTGCTTCTAGAGTCTGAGGATGACGTTGCAAATTGAGCAATCTCCTATCCATCATATCCCACACGTGCTCAATTGGGGATAAGTCGGGAGATCTTGGTGGCCATGGTAACAATATGACATTATGTTGAAAGAAGTCTATTGTGACTCTTGCAACATGTGGTCGGGCATTATCTTGTTGGAAAGTTGGATCTGCCAGGGTGTCAAGATAGGGTAAAAGATGGGGTTCTAGAACTTCGTGGATATAACGCTGCGCGTTCATGTTACCTCTGAGGAAGATTAAAGGTGACCTGGAACCATAAGCTATAGCACCCCAAACCATAACTCCAAGAGTGTGATGAACATGTCTTTCAACAAAAAACTGTGGATTCCTCCTTTCACCACGTCGCCTTCTAACCCTGGCACGACCATCGTGCATGCCTAAACAAAATCGAGACTCGTCACTAAAGACAATACTGTTCCATTCCTGATCCCAGAGTGACCGTTGTCTGCACCACTCAAGGCGATTACGTCGGTGTTCTCGAGTTAAAGGGAGGACCCAGTGTGGCCGGTATGAAAACAAGCCAAAACTTCTCATTCGTCGGTAAACACTTCGCGTGCCAATAGGTCTTCCGTGTTCTGCAAACCGTTCATTTGCAATGGACCTGTTAGTGGAGAAACGGTCCTTTAAGGCCAATAATCTTAGGCGGCGAACTTCACGGTCTGTTGTTCTACGGCGGCGTCCAGTGCCCCTTGCTCTTTGCGTACGGCCTTCTCGAAGCCATGCCTGACAACACCTAACCACAGTGTCTTCTTTGCACTCTAACTGCAATTGCCCGAAAAGAAAGTCCAGCTTCCCGAAGTCCCACTATACGGCCCCTATCAAACTCACTAAGTTGACGAAATCGTACAGGTCTCCGTACTCTAGGCATCGTAACCGACCGTAAAGGATGTCAAGAACCAAAATCCGCCAACGTTGATTCTTTACTGCGGCTGAAATATTCATTTTTAGAGCGTTAGTGAATTAAAAAGAAGCAGTATAAAAACCGGAATGTCCAAATGATAAGGCTGAACATTTTTTCACTTGTTATTTACAGTAAGATCAATACATTAACCAACTTTTATTAAAATAAAACCATTTAAACTGGGTGTTCGGATTTATATGTCACTTAGTATAGTAAAAGCTCCTATAGCATTAAGAAATAAGTACTTATTAACTATTTTTGTTTCTGAACCAGATTATATCGATTTGTAACAAACAGCCTACTCACATTATTTCAACAGATACTGGTATTCAAGCTTTCTATCCGCGAAAATCTACAGGGTGTTCAAATAGTATGGATAGATGCAAATATCTCAAAACCTACAGAAAAATCTTGTAGAACAAACCTGTAAGGTTTGACTATGTCATTTGGAGGTCAAGTGAGTTTTCTTAAATAAAACCCCTATTTTTGACACTGGGGAAAGTAAAGAGTGGAATATTTTACGTTAAATTATGTCTTGTTGCCCATGACCGTGACTATGTTTTCTTGGGTATTTGAGGCTGTCCAGAAAGTAGGAAAAGGACAAAATATCCCGAAAAATAGGTCTTGGTTGTTGGTGGTTTTCTGTTTATTTGCATATTGATGTCAACTTTGTGCGTAGAAATACATTGCTTTAGATTGAAATTATCACATTACTATACAGGGTGCTCGAAAAATAGACGGAGATATGTTAAATGGTCATTCCTTGTTAAGAAATATGAAGAAAGTTTCCATAAACATGGGTCCGGGAACGAACAGTATTCAAGATACAGGGTGACAATTTTTTTTATTAATATGTTAAAAAATATTTACCCGATTCTGTTGAAATTTAGCAATATTGTTTGTTGTATTAAGAAACTAATTTACTTCTATATAGATTAAAATTATTAGGTCTAGTGGCGTCCCGGGGAGGGGGGGGGGCACTTAGCAAATATTATAAAAAAATTTACGGAACTGCCTTTTTTGCAACTTTAATATTTGTTGTTTGATTGAGCATCTAAAAATACAAGTCTTGTATTTTTTTTCGTATCTCACCTCGTTTTCGATAAAAAAATAAAAACCGTTTTATTGCATGTCACTGGACAAAATTGGTTTATTAATTTTTGCTAAAAAAAATCACCTTGTGTCTTGGAAAATGAAAAATCATTTCTTCTAGAAAAGAATTATTCATGTAATTTTCTTTGCGAAATTTCTCTAAAAAGTTTTTGTCTTCGGTTTTGTGATGCAAAATTACACTTTTGAGGAAATGGCAGACATATCTCCGTCGAACATCCTGTATTTTTTTTTGTACTCCAACTGCCACGAAGGCCTAAGGCCTAAACACCCATTGGGTACCGTGGGGTTATAGGGGGATACAGGGGAAAGGGGAACGCCACACGGACTCTGGCGATGGAACACGTGTGCATGCAACATGCAGACATTCTGGCTCCGCCTACGAGATCCGCCGGGTGGTACCTCCACGTTCGACAGTCAGAGACCGTCTACGACCTACGGACAATCACAACATCCATAGCAAAGAGAAAAATTTCTCCTGGGACGGGACTCGAACCCGCACAGCGCACGGCGACTGATCAGGAGACTGAAGAGTCTACTACTGCGGCCACCGCTGCTGCCTGTATATTGTATTTAAGCAAATAAAAAAGTGTTGTAAGGTTTGAAAAAGTTCATCTGTTGTTGACTTTAAGCGTGGCCCTGACTATGACCTTGAAGCTTACTAAAAAGTCAGTACACTTTTTTAAATAAAAACCCCTAGCTTTGACATAGAAAATAAAAAGAGAAAGAATATTTATGTTCAAGCATGTCCATGAACTTTATTATGGCCGTCAAGGGCATTACAAGATCAAACGAATTTTTAAGGGGAAATATCTTTGTCAATGAACCTGACCTTGATCTTCTAGGCTATTTCAAGGTCGGATGAACTCTTTACGTTTTGTAGCGAATATAAAAATACGAAACATTGAAACTAATTTATTGTTTCATTCAAATGGTGGAAAAAAAGTTCGTTGTCGAAGTAGCTATTGCATCACTTTGAATATTGCATTTATTTTCCCGAAAGCAATTTCTTTAACATTAAAGCAAAGTTTTCTATAAATCAGCCGGTTTGTTTGAATTTTTCCATATACTAAGGACTATTCTACATAAGGTTCTTGAACCGAATGCAAAAGTTGGCATGTTTTCTATTGTTTCATGCTTAACGGTAGTTCTTTATTTAACTTTTTTGTAGGTTATTCTGGAATATGACATAATCATTGAAGATAATGCTCGTAAGGCTCATATGCATGCTGTGGAAAATGTTTTGGGAAAACCTAAAGGTGAGTACATTTGGCACAATCTTCACCTCGATAACTAATATACTAAGTGACATACAAAATGCAATACCCAGAATCATCACTGATGAACAAAATTAAAATAATTTATAAGCATTAATTAGTTTACTCACAATATCTTTATTTTCTATGTCATTTAGTATATAATGGTTAATAGCTCTTCATTATGATACCTTTAAGGTATTGAGGCCAGAATACTTGAACTTTATTTTAAAGTCAATTTGGGCGACTCTTGTACGTGTTCTTTCTTCAAAAGCATAAAAAAGCAAAAACAATCGACTGTGACCGGTGATGTTTAATATCATTCAAAAGGTGGTCGTTACTGCCGTTCAGGTGGTCCATTTTGAAATTCCTTTCTTCGATGGCGCGGTCGTGCATTTCGAGTATTATTTAGCGAATACAGAGAGTAATGCTGATTTCTAATTCCTGAAACGTACTTTCTTACCTATATAGATGTTCCTCCAAAGTAAAAATGAAATTCAAGTATGTTGACTCTGCAACGCCGTCATCAGAACATTAAGGATTAGACACGCTGAGAAAAGGTTAGTTACGAACATGTACAAAAGAAAAATCCGACAGCACATCGCTGTCTTGTTCGAAAAAATGATCATTTTAGGCATGGAACGACAATAGTTACGAAGTACCACCCGAAATGCTCGGGCGCATCATCTGAAATTATAATTTCATACTGGACCACATTGACTGTACTATCAGCCGACATTTGAAAGAAATAAACTAAGTGACATATAAATCCGAACACCCAGTTTAAATGGTTTTATTTTAATAAAATTTTGTATAAGTACTTAATGAAGCATAATAAGTAAATGATAAAAATTTCAAAATGATTGCACTGCTTTAAAGCCCTTTGACCTTTAATAATGTGTGGATGCACCCTGATGTGCTACGCATTCTCCAACGCGCTTAGGCATGCTTCTGATCAGGTGGTCAATGTCCTCCTGTGGTATCTCATTCCAGGCAACCTCCAACTCCTCTCGAAGTGCTTCTAGAGTCTGAGGAGGACGTTGCAAATTGAGCAATCTCCTACCAATCATATCCCACACGTGCTCAATTGGGGATAAGTCGGGAGATCTTGGTCGCCATGGTAACAATGTGACATCATTATGTTGAAAGAAGTCTATTGTGACTCTTGCAACATGTGGTCGGGCATTATCTTGTTGGAAAGTTGGATCTGCCAGGGTGTCAATATAGGGTAAAAGATGGGGTTCTAGAACTTCGTGGATATAACGCTGCGCGTTCATGTTACCTCTGATGAAGATTAAAGGTGACCTGGAACCATAAGCCGTAGCACCCCAAATCATAACTCCAACATGTCTTTCAACAAAAAACTGTGGATTCCTCCTTTCACCACGTCGCCTTCTAACCCTGGCACGACCATCGTGCATGCCTAAACAAAATCGAGACTCGTCACTAAAGACAATACTGTTCCATTCCTGATCCCAGAGTGACCGTTGTCTGCACCACTCAAGGCGATTACGTCGGTGTTCTCGAGTTAAAGGGAGGACCCAGTGTGGCCGGTATGAAAACAAGCCAAAACTTCTCATTCGTCGGTAAACACTTCGCATGCCAATAGGTTTTCCGTATTCTGCAAAACATTCATTTGCAATGGACCTGGTAGTGGAGAAACGGTCCCTTAAGGCCAATAATCTTAGGCGGCGATCTTCACGGTCTGTTGTTCTACGGCGGCGTCCAGTGCCCTTGCTCTTTGCGTACGGCCTTCTCGAAGCCATGCCTGACAACACCTAACCACAGTGTCTACACTTCTTTGCACTCTAACTGCAATTACCCGAAAATAAAGTCCAGCTTCCTGATGTCCCACTATACGGCCCCTATCAAACTCACTAAGTTGACGAAATCGTACAGGTCTCCGTACTCTAGGCATCGTAACCGATCGTAAAGGATCTCAAGAACCAAAATCCGCCAACGTTAATTCTTTACTGCGGCTGAAATATTCATTTTTAGAGCGTTAGTGAATTAAAAAAAAACAGTATAAAAACCGGAATGTCTAACTGATAAGGCTGAACATTTTTTCACTTGTTATTTACAGTAAGATAAATACATTCACCAACTTTTATTAAAATAAAACCATTTAAACTGGGTGTTCGGATTTATATGTCACTTAATATAGTCTCCCAAAACTAAATGTCAAGAATGCCATCTTATCTTGGGTACTAAATATAACCCGTTAAATTTAATTTGTTCATATTTTCTTCTCTTGAAAAAAAACCACTATATATGAATCACACCTTATTACATAAAAGTTTCAAATTTTTGCCTTTACTACTAATCCCTTATGATAACTATGTTAAATATTGAACAATCCGTGACTTGATTGCTGGGTATTTGGAAGCAACTTTATGAAAGCGTGGCTCATGTATATTGTAGGTTGATTTTCATTGTTTTGAATAGCATATAAAGGGTGGCGCATCGAAAACTAACAGACGCATTTACTGGCTGCTCAGTTTTTTTTGGAAAAACGCTCAGACCCGTTGATTTTGTTTTCGAGGGGGACACAAGTTTGCCAAAAAATCACGTTATTTGTTGAAGAAAGATAAGGAAACATCTCGTACTTATCTTAAATAGGAATTTAGTACATAGTTTGCGATTGATTTGACCAAACTTTGTTGCTAAAATAACTTGTAACGCTTTATTACATAAATTAACCATGGTATATTCCACAGCAGAAAGAGTTGAAATTATCGAAATATTTTTCGGAAATAATCAGTGCGCTAATAGAACAGCAGAAATATTTAATGAGCAACATGAGAACAGTAACGTGCATCGAAAATATGTTCTAGAACCTGTAGCTAAATTTTGGGAAATTGGGTCAGTCGCCAATAAAATACGCAACATTGAAAATCCTATAAGGAACGAAGCAATAGAAGTGGGGGTTTTAGGGCAAGTTTATGTAGATCCTATGTTAAGTACCCGCAAATTGGAGACTGCGTGTGGTGTTAGTCGACGTACTGTCCAACGGATTATAAAGGCCCATAGTTTTCATCCATATAAAGTTTACCTGGTACAAGAACTTAATGAAGACGATTTTGATCGGCGATTACAATTTTGTGAAGATATGAGTGAACGAATTATAAACGATGAACATGTTCTATTCAACACTTGCTTTTCCGACGAATGTTCCTTTTTTTTAAAAAAAAAATTAAATAGTAAATCGTCATAACTGCCGATATTAGTCCGATTCTAATCCCACAATTTATCATGAGGTTCATACACAGCAGCCACAAAAATTAAATGTTTGTGCGATCATTTAGTTGGCCTTCTTTTCTTACTTGGAAATTTGACCGGTGAAATGTATTTGGAATTACTGGAAGACGCTCTAGATCCTGCATTAACAGCCATAATTGAAAATCAGAATGATCGGCGGTACATTGCGAATAGGTTGATGTTATAACAGGATGGTGCTCCACCATATTACGCATTACGCGTTCGGCAATATTTAGATCAGACGTTTCCAGATCGATGGATTGGTAGAAAAGGTGCCATTGAATGGCCCCCAAGATCGCCAGATTTATCACCCTTCAAAACTACTGAACTGAAATACATTAATTTTATGTCATTAAAAATGGAATTGAAAGACCTTTAAAATTATGTATCACCCCCCTTTCCATTTAAGATTTTGGGGGTGGTGTCACCCCGGTTTAGGGGGCTGCTCGTGCTAACGTGATTTTTTGCCAAGCTTGTGTCCCCCTCGAAAAAAAAATCGACGGGTCTGAGCTTTTTTAAAAAAAAACTGAGCTGACAGTAAATGCGTCTGTTTCGTTTTCGATGCGCCACCCTGTATATTGGAAAATTAATAACGTCCCTCAAATAAAATATTTTGGCAAGTGATAATTTCTACAACCTAGATAATCAAGTTATGAGTATAATGCATAATTCAAAAATCATTTTTAACTTGTCTTTCATCTGTGAATACAACTAACAAGTTGCATTTCATCAACAGGTCATCCTAACCCAATGATGGTTAAAGAACCAATCTGGACGACTTGGGCCAAATACAAAGCAAAAATTACCGATCCGGTTGTGTTAGACTTTGCTAAAGCGATCAGAAAGCAAAACTATACTGCGGGACAACTTGAAATTGACGACGCTTGGGAGGTACGTATTTACATACATAAATGTACGGTGTCTCAAGTAGCACTGCAGCGATCGATTACTTGGAAAGTTCATCTTATATAATTATGAAAATTTGGGTGTTGTAGGATAAATGACGAGAGCAATCCGGAGTATTTTCATAACTTTCAGTTGTACCGGAAATGATTATACAGGGTGTTCCTTAATGATATGCGAATATTTAAGGGTGTATTTAGCGGATTTTTTTGTTATATCCTTACCATATTTTAAGAGTATAGGCATTTCTTCCCATTGATTTTCCAAGGCGTGTGACCTTTTGTCAGTGGTATCTACAAACAATTACACAAAATCCGCAATTTGAATCAATGATTCTGTTCACGCACAAAGCTAATTTTTCTCGAAATGCCATTCAGAATTTCCACAATAATAATTTGTGGGCAGAAGAAAATCCCAATGCCGTAACCGAAACCCATTTCCAACACCAATTTTCGGTTAACGTATGGGCAGGAATTATTGACAACCACTTGCCGGGACGACTTGACGAACCGATTTACCTCAATTTTCTTCAACAACAGTTGTCTTTGCTGCTTGATGATGTTCCGTTAGTAATAAGAAACAATATGTGGTACTTGCATGATGGTTCACCAACTGTTTATCCGAATCGTTGGATTGACCGCGGTGGGCCCTAAGAATGGCCACCAAGGTCCCCAGACCTCAACAGTTTAGATTTCTTTTTATGTTGCTATCTTAAGACAGTAGTGTACACAAGTTTTATTAAGACTGTGGAGGAATTAAGAGAAGAATAGTTGCAGCTTGGGATAGAATAAGAAACACTCCAGGGATATTTCAATGAGTGCGCAATTCCATGAGGAGGGTGGAAGCATGCATACCAGCATGGGCCATTTTCAACAATTTTTATAATCATCTCGTTGGTTTCAATGTTATGTTTATGTTGTCAGTTGTTGTTGATCATTACCCCTAAGGTGTTTAATTTTTCCAATTAAATTAATAATAATTTTGCAAGTCAGACAGCGAACTGATTTGATTACCATTTACCATACCATTTTTCTCTTAAAAAATATCGAAATCAATACTCGTATGCACGCCACTGTTAAAGCTTAAAATGACTTTTGCATTGAAAAATAGGCAACTTTATTGAGTCTCACTACATACTGAATATCAGTGAAATATCTGAAGCGGTTCTAACATTATTAATTAATTTCCATTTTTTCCTAAAACTTCAACACATCGAGTTTTTGTAAGGAAACATTTTTGGACCATAGTTTATAAAAGAAACGAACATTAATTTTTCATGTAGATTCACACCCCTAAATATTCGCATATCACTAAGGTACACCCTGTATATTTTTCGAGATTTCGTGTATCTCATCATGTGCCTAAATTCAATCATTTTTGTATACTAAGTGACATATAAATCCGAACACCCAGTTTAAATGGTTTTATTTTAATAAAAGTTGGTGAATGTATTTATCTTACTGTAAATAACAAGTGAAAAAATTTTCAGCCTTATCAGTTGGACATTCCGGTTTTTATACTGCTTTTTTTTTTAATTCACTAACGCTCTAAAAATGAATATTTCAGCCGCAGTAAAGAATCAAAGTTGGCGACTTTTGGTTCTTGACATTCTTTACGATCGGTTACTAGTACGGTGACCTGTACGATTTCGTTAACTTAGTGAGTTTGATAGGGGCCGTATAGTGGAACTTCGGGAAGCTGGACTTTCTTTTCGGGCAATTGCAGTTAGAGTGCAAAGAAGTATAGACACTGTGGTTAGGTGTTGTCAGGCATGGCTTCGAGAAGGCCGTACGCAAAGAGCAAGGGGCACTGGACGCCGCCGTAGAACAACAGACCGTGAAGATCGCCGCCTAAGATTATTGGCCTTAAGGGACCGTTTCTCCACTACCAGGTCCATTGCAAATGAATGGTTTGTAGAACACGGAAGATCTATTGGCATGCGAAGTGTTTACCGACGAATGAGAAGTTTTGGCTTGTTTTCATACCGGCCACACTGGGTCCTCCCTTTAACTCGAGAACACCGACGTAATCGCCTTGAGTGGTGCAGACAACGGTCACTCTGGGATCAGGAATGGAACAGTATTGTCTTTAGTGACGAGTCTCGATTTTGTTTAGGCATGCACGATGGTCGTGCCAGGGTTTGAAGGCGACGTGGTAAAAGGAGGAATCCACAGTTTTTTGTTGAAAGACATGTTCATCACACTGTTGGAGTTATGGTTTGGGGTGCTATAGCTTATGGTTCCAGGTCACCTTTAATCTTCATCAGAGGTAACATGAACGCGCAGCGTTATATCCACGAAGTTCTAGAACCCCATCTTTTACCCTATCTTGACACCCTGGCAGATCCAACTTTCCAACAAGATAATGCCCGACCACATGTTGCAAGAGTCACAATAGACTTCTTTCAACATAATGATGTCACATTATTACCATGGCCACCAAGATCTCCCGACTTATCCCCAATTGAGCACGTGTGGGATATGATGGGTAGGAGATTGCTCAATTTGCAACGTCCTCCTCAGACTCTAGAAGCAGTTCGAGAGGAGTTGGTGGTTGCCTGGGTTGAGATACTACAGGAGGACATTGACCACCTGCTCAGAAGCATGCCTAGGCGCGTTGGAGAATGCGTAGCACATCAGGGTGCATCCACACATTATTAAAGGTCAAAGGGCTTTAAAGCAGTGCAATCATTTTGAAATTTTTATCATTTACTTATTATGCTTCATTAAGTACTTATACAAAATTTTATTAAAATAAAACCATTTAAACTGGGTGTTCGGATTTATATGTCACTTAGTATAATATCGCAAATTTTGCCTGAAAACGACAAATTATAAAAAAAGTTTCTCGTATTTTTGACATTTTATTCCAAATTTAGATAGAAAAATAGTGCAGGGTGGCCAACTAAGGGTGTGAGGTACTATATTTGGGAATCTATCCATCGCAGAGGCTTGCTGCAAAAAAAAAACGCCCAACCCCACCACTTTATTTGTAGAGATGCAGCAAAAATTGTCAAACAAAAAAAGTTCACATTATCGTCGACTTTGACGATCACGTATCTTTTTGTTAGGTTCATATAGCGGAACTCACAAAAACATCGCTTTCTCCGATTCAAGATTGAAGTTACGCCCCTAGCGGCAATTTCAGAACCTTTAAAATCCTGCCCAATTTTTTCCATCGGCCGTTTTAGTAAGATCTTTTTTGCCGCAAGCCTCTGCGACGGATAGATTCCCAGATACAGTACCTCGCATTCTTAGTTGTCCACCCTGTACGATGGCATAAATTGTCAGTTATTCAACCCAACTCAAAAAATCATTGAGAACATAGTTGAAATATTTTTCTGTATACTCTTTAGAAATGCTACGGAGCACAAGAATTCGACACTTCAAAGGACAAATTCGCAAACATTGACAGCACCGTGAAGGAGTTAAAGAAAATGGACTTTAGAGTTACCTTATGGGTGCATCCCTTCGTTGACAATGATTGCAAGCCTACATCTGAAGAAGGCTTAAAGAAAGGTAATTAAGTTATCCGATGCTTCCGTTATTGATATTGATTGATCTTTGATCTACAGAAGCAGGTTCTTTTGAAAGTGTCCGGACATTAATATTGAAATTTGAGAAGATAAGTAGTCATCCCATACACGATATTTCAAAAAACAGTTTTGATATTTCTAAAACAAAGTACATCAGTTCAAACTAACTTTGGTCCAAAAATTTCACTTTTCACAAATACAAAGTCTTGAAGATTTCTACGCCGCTGATAAAAATAATACATTTTATATGGGTATGGGTCAAGATTGAGATACCCTATATACAGGGTGAGTCAAAAGTTGTGACCAAATACGAAACATCATACATAGGGCCTCATTTTAAGGGTGGTCTTCTATGTAACATTTCTTCCTTTACATCTAATTCAAGCCACAGATGGTCAAAGTTCATGGTTCCTTAATATCTTTTAACTACATTGCATTTGTATAGGAGAAAGCAACTAGCTAGAAGTATTTTATCGAAAAAACAAAGTATAACCTTATTTGTGCATGCAGCAAAAGACCACAGATGAGAAGGTTGGTTTTTCTAAAATATAAGAAAAAATTCATTATCTCAAAAACGATGACACTTTTATACAGGGTGTTTCAGTTTATTGTTGTATAACTTTAAGATTCGATAGAACTTTTAAAATTAATGCATAAAGTCTATATAAACATGGGTCGAAAAATGCGTGGCTTCCGAAATACAGGGTGTTTAAATTTACTTTCTAAAACAGTTTTTTTAAATATTTCGAACAATATTTGATGTATAACAGTGAAAATTGGTATACAAGGGTTTTTTGGTATGACAAAACGAACCATGGCAATAGTTTTACTGTAGCCGCTAGAGGGCGCTCTCTACTGTACCTGTAGTGTATTAAAATGACCGAACATTTTTTCTTAGTGCAATTTTTTGCTTTTTGAATAAAAAAACTGATTCCTCGCACTTTTCAACATAAAAAAGCTTTCTTGTGAATTTTCGTTGTAGTTAGCCGTTTTTGAGATATTTCGATTTCTAAGGTTCGATGCATTTTTAATTATTTATGGGAAAATAATATTTTTTTTACATTTTCGATTTGGGCATTACAAGTAATTAAGATGATCGTTTAGATTGTGTTTTTATACACAGCAATAATTCCTAACTCCAAATAAACACAAAAAAACAGAATATTAATTTGTTTAATTTTCCAATATTATTTTTAACAAATTAAATTAATTATTTACAACTAAAATGCTAATGGATAGTTAGGACAAACATACAAAATCTAAAGTAGTTGCTCGAAATGTAAACCCAATTGTTCAATACACAATTCACATCTACGAATGATCGAACGAATTATTCAAATAAGGCCTTATTTCATCACATGCATTCCTGATTCTGTCTATTAGCATATCTCTTGTGGTTACGGGAGTCTGGTACACTTTTTCTTTTAGAAATCCCCACACAAAGAAATCTAATGGATTTAGGTCAGGGGATCGTGGAGGCCAGGCGACTGGTCCTCCACGGCCGATCCATCTTTCTGGATAATTTTCGTCCAGCCAGTTTCTAACTATTCTCGAATAATGAGCTGGACAACCATCAAGCTGGAACCAGGCCAATCTTCTTAAATCTCACATAACATCATCCCACATATTTGCATGTTCAGCCTTTAAAAATTCCAAGAAGGTCGCAGCATTTAAACTTGAAGGCAAAAGGTAGGGTCCAAATAGTCGATTACGGTAGATACCAATTGTTCACACTAAATTCATGCTGTAAATTTCTTTCCCGAACTGCATGCGGATTTTCATGCGACCAAATATGTTGATTATGAAAATTTACCACTCCACGTCTAGTGAAGCATGACTCATCGGTCCATAAAACGTTACTTAAAAACTCCCTATTATTATCAGTTCTGTCAAGAATCCACTGACAAAATGTGATTCTTCGTTCTCCGTCCCCTGACTGTAGTCCTTGCACAGGTTGCAAATGGTAAGGACATCTATGGTCATTTCTATGAACACGCTGAACATGGCTTGCTGAAATTCCCAAGGCACCAGAAACTCTCCTAACACTTGTGGTCGGATCTCTATCAAACTCACGTAGAATCATACGGGTAAACCTGCGCTGACGAACATTTATGTTTTGATCCCTTTGGAGATTTCCAAAACCATTTTCAATTATTTGGCGATGCACTCATACAAATACTGAGCGAGTTGGATGTCGTCTGTTTGGAAATCTTCGTGCGTATTCTCTGGCTTCTTCTGCTGCGTTTCCATTTACAAAGCCATACACAAAATGAATATCCGCTAACTCTTGATTGGAGAATAAAAATGGCATTTTTATAAAACTTACAAAAAAAAAACAGGTAAAAGAAACTAAATTTCGTGCATTCACAATTGCAAAAAAACGTTTCAGGTTTCAAAAGACAACAAAACTGTCAACTAATTGACGTTTAACCTTATTCTGCTTTCAATTTCAAAAATATTTGCAGGCACAGCCTACTTCTAAAAATTGTCGAGATACTGACTTTTTAACGTTATTTTATCATAAATAATTAAAAATGCATCGAACCTTAAAAATCGAAATATCTCAAAAACGGCTAATTATAACGAAAATTCAAAAGAGAGCTTTTTTATGTTGAAAAGTGCGAAGAATCAGTTTTTTCATTCAAAAAGCAAAAAATTGCACTAAAAAATTGTTTTCGGTTAGTTTAATACACTACAGGTACAGTAGATAGCGCCCTCTAGCGGCTACAGTAAAACTATGCCCATGGTTCGTTTTGTCGTACCAAGAAACCCTTGTATACCAATTTTCACTGTTATACATCAAATATTGTTCGAAATAAAAAAAAAATATTTTAGAAAGTACATTTAAACACCCTATATTTCGGAAGCCACGCATTTTTCGAGCCATGTTTATATAGACTTTATGCATTAATTTTAAAAGTTCTATCGAATATTAAAGTTATGCAACAATAAACTGAAACACCCTGTAGATCCTGTGTAGGGGAGTAAGATAGAGCTAGCGCGATCTGCGCAAGCGTGCAGTTTCGGGCTTACCCTTTGATGGTTTGGGCACTCGGCACAGTACAACGGAGGCAGATCCTTTTTCAATATAGTGCATTCTCACCTTGTTCATTGCGAAGGTTGCCATTAATCCTGAGTTGGGCTTGGACCGTCCACAACGTGCAAGGTTGTACAGTCGACCATGCACAGCGACTGTTTGCTGCTGGACAAGCTTATGTAGCACTTAGCCGTGTAAGATCTTTAGACGGTATTCGGATTGAACAACTTGATTGCTCTAAGTTAACAGGAGAAATCCCATGTAATAGTGAAGCTTTAAATGATTAGATTACGACATGATTCGTAAGACATTCCAGTTTAACATGCCCACAAAAAACTAATTGATAAATTGAACTAAAAAATGAAAAATAAATAATAGTTTAAAAAAAGTAGTTTACTTCTTTTGCTCATTACTCAAAACTTACTCATGTCTCTTTTCCTCTCAGCTGCAGATTTATTTCTGGAATTACCCGTTATATTCTATTTTAGGGTTCTTTGTGAAGAACCCGGAAGGAAGTACCCGCGCAACATGGTGGAATGGGAAAGACTCTCACCAGATCGACTTCACGAAACCTGAAGCAGCCGAGTGGTACGCCGCTAGGCTGAGGAAGTTACAGAAGAGTCCTGGTATCGACGCCTTCAAATTTGACGCCGGAGAAACAGATTATGCTCCACAGGTAACCCAACTAGCACAGTAGTGGTATAAGCTTTTGGTAAAAGAACCATTCAGCCATAAAAGCTCTCTATTGTTGTTGCCTGAACACCAAAATGCTGGCTTAATGTTGGGTGGAATGCAAATTTGCTTTCTGCAACATATTTGCTCTAAAATGAGGTGTTTAAAATATTCTTATAACATAGTTATACAACACCTTATAGGGCAAATTTTTAACTGTTGCATAAACGTTTATACAACTATTTTATACGGCATATTTGCAAGTTAGTCAAAATGATTGTGTTGTGGCATCCATGGTAACGTTTACAAAACAAACTGGAGCCTTGTTGTTTTGCTGTGCAATTTACTACTTTAGCGAACAAATTGCTCCCAACGGAACCACTTATACAACTGTTGTTTAGTAACTGTTAAAGGCTGTACATATGCTAAATATGTTGGTAAACAACTTCACCATAACCTAACTTTCTGCTGTCATATTTTTGTTAAAATGCCATAACCAATGTTTTAAGACAAACAACGCATGCATATTTTTTTCAAAAGGTTTTATCAACTGTTCAAACAGAAGATATAGATCTGGTACAAATTCTGGGTAAATCATTCGACTCTGTCGGTATTTCATTTCAGGCATTTGTCAAATTGCTGTATAACACCTGCAGGCAACACCAAAATATTCTAATAACCTAAAGACAACATGGACGATGCCATGATTGTACACAACCACCCGCCATATTGGGCAAAGATTTATTCCTCTATTTAATATTAAATAATTATGTTTCAGTTCGAAATTACAGATATAAAGTGATAAAAATTAGTGTAATTGTGTCTAAATATAGGATTTGTGGAAGATTTAACGCAGATAAGTTCAGTTTTCCATCGTAAAAATCTAGACATACTTTTGATCATTGTCAAAATATGAATCAAATATGAAGCCCGTAGAAATTGGGTAACTAATTTGCACGATAATCACAATGAAAGTTGCTGCGCAAGTAATCCAATAGCCCTATATCAAAGTGTAGAAGTTTATCATATACCTGTGTATGAAATCTACAATGGCCGATATGTAAGTAAACAAGATGACTGTAATGTGTTAGTTATATATTCTTCACTTCGTCTATACAATACATAAGAAATAGTTTGGTTGCAATAAAGTAGAATCACGTAACAGAATAGTTGTATAGTTGACAAAAACTGAATCTTGCACTGACGCAAATGTCCTATAGCGGCTGCAAGAGGCTTACACTTTTGTTTTATAACTGTTACCTGCAGCCCTTATACAACCTCTTAAATGACTTAAGTGTCCTATTAGGTGTGCCCATTCCGCTTGTATAGCTGTTCTAAGAGGGTTTTGCCAATGTTCTTACAGTATACAATGCTGTTTAAGGAGTACTGTATAATCATTCTTGCAACTCTAATATGAGTGATAATTGTTATACTATAACTATCTAAAACTGTAATGACTCATCGATGTTCACGTGAACATCACTTAACTACCAGTAGTCGGCTGTTCATAGGCAGGGTATGAATGTTTAACATGGGTGAACTAGATTTGTCACATGCTTAATAGAGAGTGGTTTGAAACATATTGTAAGTCAAAAATTTGGGAATTACCTTTATTCATCGTCGCTTTCACTTACATCTGACAGTAATAAGCTGTCGCTATCGCTTTCCTCGTTGAAATTGACTATAACTGGCTCTATGATGGTGTCGATGTGGTGGTCAAGCTGCCACATTTTTGTTTTTTCCTTCACAACATGACGGATAGCATTCTGCCAAGCTTCGGGCGTTACTAGCTGTATGGAAGTCTCAAGTAAAACCTTAACGTCTGGTAATTTGAAGGTTGTGTTATGGCGCGCAATATAACCCTTCACTTGAGCCCAGATGAGCTCTATTGGGTTAAGTTCACAGTGGTAGGGCGGTAACCGCAGCACAGTGACACCAGATTGACGGGCCATCTCATCAGTCACGTAACTAATGTTCGCAGGTTTGTGCTGTTTAATTTTTTCATACAATTCCGCTTTCACACATGAATCGTCAAACGGGATTCCTTTTTCGCGCAACCATTGCTGCATGTCACTTTTTCGAGATCCCATAGTCGGTACACGTTCGGCTCGACGACTATGGTAGGAAGCATTATAAATGACGATCACAGAGTTGGGCTCAACTCGCTGAAGCACCCCTTGAAACCAGCTCTCGAAGCAGCTGGCATTCATTTCGTCATGGTAATCACCTCCTTTCTTAGAGACGAAAATCAAGTCACACTCTTCTAAAAAGCCACTATCGCTACCAATATGAGTTACGATCAATCTTTGACCTTTCCCTGACGGTCCACGAAGACCTGTTGACAAACCTTCAATGCTTGCTTGTCGGTTACTCACTACGTTTTTGTCTATCCAGGTTTTTTAAATGTGTGACCTGCATTTACTCATGTCTCGTCCAAATAATAGATTTTTCTGCTTTGTCGCCTATATTCAATCATTTCGCGTAGGTATTTTCGACGCCAAGCGACTATTTCAGGTCTCTCTATCAATACTGACTTCCGATTACGCATTTCGTAACGAAAATTAATTTCGTGCAGGGATTTCCTCATTACCTCGACGCTCATTTGGGGTATAATTTCATTTTCCTTGATCGCTGCATGTACAGCCTTGAGGGTTGGTATCTCATTCCTAAAGAAGAATGAATGTACGGTTCGCCTTAACGCCATTTTGCTATCGTCATCCAATTTAACGGCCTTTCGTCCCTTCAAATTAAACTTTGGGTCAGTAGTAGCTCCAGTTTTCTTCTTTTCATGCACCACCCTGCGAATGGTCCACTCTGGAACGCCTGTCATACTTTCACAACGCGCGAGTGCATCTCCCTGCGACATAGTTCTGTTCAGATAATAGACCACGTTGAGCACTCGTGCCATTTGTACTCTCCATGGTTAAGTATAATCAAAACAGTAACCACAGAAACCACAAAAATAACAATCACACAACAATTCTTATAAAAACACACAATACGCCTATGAGTCTGCCGGTCGAGGCGCGTCTTTGATTTCATTGGTTCTACCGGCGGATAACAATCAGCCATTATCCATCCATCTCTGTCTGTGCTGTTGACCACCGCAAAGCCACAGAAACGACATATGTCGTACTCTATACGGCTGTACTGGAAGGAAGCCGGGATCGAGCTCTGATCACGTGTTGATCACGCGTATGAGTCATTACACTTTTAAATAGTTGTAGTATAGTTGGGAAGCTTATAATAAACTTATGTAGAAGAATAAACTCGAGCCACAGTCTATGTAGCGCAAAACGTTCCAAAACTGCTTGTTCTTCGGAACTCCGTTCGACGTAGAGTAACTATGCCTAAATCGAACCCCCTAAGACATTTTTATTTTATAGGGATTGCTAATACTTAAACAACAACAACAAGCATATAAACGTAAACTTCGTTTAATTCTGAAGATTATTGTTACAACTTAATATACATAGGAACTTGAAAAAACTGAAAATTTTCGGTTGCAAAAAATCGTGTAAAAGGTACGAAATAGGAGCATTGATCTTAACCCATTTATGCCTAAAGAGTTGCAAAAAAGGTTTTTTAGTATTTTTTAAAAAACCTTATTAAAAGATGACACTTTGGCGGTATTTTCAATTTATTCTAAAAAAATTCATAAACAGTTAGTTTTTTAGGATGTACTATACATAGGACATTAGGAATAAAGGCAGCTATAAGAATAATAAAAAAAATATTGAAAATAGTACAAATATTTTAAAATGCATCAATATTGCAAATTTTAAAGAGTATGATATTGAACAAAACATTTCACGTGAAGGCCGACATCACATTTTCTACATCTAATGGTCGTGCGCTCATGACAATATGCACACCTCGTTTGTTTGCCTTGCGGAATGACTAAATGATCTAAGCGATCATACCTTATGTCACCAAAATTTCTTGATTTACCTTGCTGGTACGTATAAGTCTTCTTATTTTGTGTCAAGATAGTTGTAGCTATACTTCTTCTAAATTGTAATTGATCCACGTTATTTACTCTCTTTTTATAAATATGCCAGGCGTTTGTCAAGGCCATATCTACACATTGAGAGATCAACGAGAAATACCATTTTTTGCCTCGGATTTGTACTCTGTATTGAGCTATATTCTGGTCTGACCTGTCCACCCCGCCAATACATTTATTATACAGCTTGACAACTTGGGGCTGATCTACATACAAAAACCTTTTTTCTTTTTGAGAATACCGCTCTACTGAATTTACTGGTTCAATTCCAATCGCTGTAGACCCAAAAGTTACAATATTGTTGTCATTCCATTTTACAAAAATTAAGTTTTTATCTTTTACTTTGGTATAATCAAACACTCCACGTTGTTCCTTTTTCATAAGTTTTGAATTTTTCAAAGAAGGCATGGGTATACGATTTTCACAAATTGTTCCTGTACCACATATGCCTTTTTCAGTCAAGCTTTCAATCAAAGCTGGCGAAGAAAAAAAATTATCAAATACAAAATGAAACTTAAGATTTGCCCATTTGCTTTTTAGCCTATCAGCATAGCTCAATACAACTGATGCGCCAACACCTAAAGATTTGTAAGCCGCGTTCACATACGTCGAAGCACCCTAATAAGGTTCAAACCATAAGATGAAACCAAGAGTAGTAGCGCCAACCCAAAATTTGAACCCATAACGTATTGGTTTCCCAAGAGCCGGAAACTCAAAACATGTGTACAGCATTGTTAGTGGTGATGAATCCTGTCTTTACTGTTATGAACCAGAAAATCAACGACAGTCGGCTGTTTGGGTGTTCCAAGGTGAAGAAAAGCCAACAAAAGTCATCCGTTCTCGAAGTGTTTCGAAAAAGATGGTCGCGACATTTGTGACAAAAGCGAGTCATATTGCAACAATTCCTCTTAATCAACAAAGAACTGTTACTGCGGATTGGTATACCACCATTTGTTTGCCAAAAGTCATCACTGAGCTTCGAAAAATCAACCCCGAAA